GGAGCTGCTCACCTCTAGCTGCTCCCCTCTAATAGGCAGGCCATTTTTAAGATAATTGTAAATATTCAGCATTCCAGATACATGGTTAGGACTTCAGTGTACATATCCTGATATGAATTCATAGCAAATTGACACTGTATTTTTGACTGATCAAATATATTTGAATTTAAGTTAAGTAAAACTAGACATCTATCACCCTGGCTACTCTTTTCATTCCTGAGATTATGTGCCCAGAAACCCTTTTGTCATTGCCAGTCAAGAGGAACCTCAGCCACAGTGAAGCCTTAGCATTTGATGTCTCTTGTATGCTGTATTGCACAGAAGGGATCCTGGTCACCCCACTCAAATACATAGATCTTGCTGGTTATAATTAAGTGCAAAAATGTTAGTGTGCTAAATCAATTTGCTTGATATAACAAAACAATTTACTTTTGTATAACAAAATCACTTTCTTCCATCCACTAGATGTCACACTGAATTTTGTTACAGTAATAGCCCTACAGAACTAGTTCCTGCACTGGTTGTATCTGCTCAGAGTGTAATAAGTATTTCAGGCTTACCGTAGAGGGACACCCCTGTCTTTAAATGAGGATTTTTCAGCATCAGATGTTGCACAGCTGCTCCACCCCAGCAAAACCCAATGACACCAATCTTCTTTGCACCACATTGGTCCCTTAGATACTTGAGGACGACATCAACTTCTCTGAGACATGCAAATGAAAGTGAATTAAGGCTCTAGCTCTGTTCCTCTGGCCTCCCTGGTGGCTGCTTCTCAGAGACTGGATGGGCATCAGTCTGCTTCTGGGAGGAAGCAACTGCCTTTGCATCACTCCTGGTTTTTCTTTCCCTTACTTATCAAATTGTCTTTATCTCAACCTGTGAGTTTTCTTACTTTGTTTCTCCTATTCTCTCCCCTGTTCCTCTTGGGGGACTGAGTGAATGGCATTACAGGTGCTTGGCTGCTGGCTGGGGCCAACCCACAACACTGCTTTACTATTATTCATTTCTAAAATACAGGAGAAACTCCAGGGGAGAAGACAAAGGAGAAAGTCAGTCTTTCTACATCACTGTTACTAGGACATAGGGTGATTTTATAAATAGCAGTCCAATTAATTTCACAAATAGCAATAGTTGCCATATAGGCTAACACAAATAAAAGTTTGAGACACACAGCCAGTCAAGAGCATCCCGTTATGGCAAATCTGACCTATAGTTAAACTATCTCCAACCAGGAAGACAAATAGTTTATAGAATTGTGGAAGAAAATTTAAAATTATTGCTTCTAAATTACCAGAAACATTATGCAATCAAGCTGTGTGTCAGATAAAAATGGGGGAAATATAGAAGAGCGGGAAATTAGTATGCTTTGAACTAGCTGTTCCCTAGTTACATAGTGTTCAGTGACTGCACTTGCACTCAATCTAAAATCTGTGGAAGTTATGCCTACGTGCAGGAACTGAATCAAACTGAAGAGGAAGGAGTGAGCTGCATTTTCTAGCCTTTGTTTGTTCTTTTCATTTTAGTCACTCATTTCACTTCTACTCTCTGCACAGGTAAACAGTGGGTGCTTTTATTCTTGTTCAAACTACTACTTTTCTCCAAAAAGCACCCATCACATAACAATGAGCTTATCCCGTGAGCTACATGAAATTTCTATTTGTGGACATCCAATTATATTTGACCCACTAATAACCTAGGATCTAATGCTGCATCTTTACTGAGGCAAAAATCCCTGTGAAATAAGGATGTCCACTCGCTGGACAAGGAACAACAGTTGTACTTGTCTATTTTGCCGGCATTTCGGGTTTTCAGCCATTCATCAAAAGTCCCCCAGTCATTAGAAGGTTTCCAAGCTTCTTGTCCCACAAAAAAATCTGGGCAGATGGCTCTGTAAGAAAAATGAAAATATTTTATGCCTACAAAATAATAATGAGAAAGGATTAAAGCAAAGTCCATGTGTACTACACAACAAATTAATTTTGTTGAATACACATAGTACTTAATCTACATGAAAGTATTATACAAGCAGCCCTCAATATTTTCCTACATCTAATAAGGAGACTTAGTATAATTTGCAGATACATTTTGCCCTGTTAAAATTCATTCATTAATTTGATAAATAGCTAACTGTAACTGAAAATCCTTAGCGTTTTCCTACCAAATTTTAGAAAAACCAACCACATACATGGCATGTACATTTGGGCTAGAAGGAACGCCAACCCAGTAATATAAGAAAGTAGATACCAAATATGTTTTTCAAATATTTGAGAACTTGTTTCTTTCTTTGGCACGAGCTGGTACACTTTACCCACACTGAAAGACCTTCAGCTTCATTGCAATTTTTACCATAACAACAAAGTTACACAAAGGCTACATCAAGAGGGAGGAAATAGGCCGTTTCAGGTTCATGGAAAATGGAAGATGCAGAATAACATTTATCTCTATCTTATGTGCTTACCTACTAACTTATTATGGTAGGACTACTGAACTCTTTTAGATTTTTTCCACTGTTTTAATGGGAAAGTTGCTAGAGAAAGGTGTAGGGAAAGTCTATGAAATTATTAGTGTTTTTGGGTTTATATGAAAACAGAAAATAGTGGCTCAACAAACTTTCTTATTAAAAAGACATTTTGAAAACAGTAGTATTTCTTACATGTATCCATTAGTTGTTAGCATATCAGCTATGTATCTGGTGTTTGGGAGTTGCCATCCAAATACATCATGAATCACAATCACTGCTTTGTCTGTGCTGGCAGATGGTTTGCAAACATATGCCTTGATGTGCTCAACTTGTACCTCCTGCCCACGGCCTCCATAGTCAAACCTGTCTCCAATATCACATGGACAGGGCCTTGATTCATTAGCCATGTGTGATACTAAAGAACAAAAAATATTCAGTTGTGAATACCAAAGCATACCACATCGAAAAAGTTCAAAAGACAGTGGTATCATAAACTGTTCAATTTTTTAATCATTACAGTAATATACTGAACATGCTCAATACTGTTTGATCTAAAATGCAGTATTAGTCAATAAACCCACTGGAGTGTTTTTTATGAATAAGATTCTTGTTAGAGTTACTTATGAACTCTGCTGGAGGGACCAGGTACATAACTAGGAGTTCCATGCCCTATAGTAAGTAATGTGATAAAAATAAAGTTATGAGTAAGCAGTCAGGCAACCATCACGAATTATTTACTTAGTGATAAAAGTCCTTTTCACAGTTCTTTCACTCTTCATCATGTGTATTTTCTGTCAGGAATGTACAACTTTCTTTAGTATACTCTGCGAAGGCTTAATACAAGACTTAGCATTTTGAAGGAAAAAAACCCCCAGCTACTGTGTAGGAAGATATAATTACACTCAGACTAAATATTTTCCTCCAGAGAGTTAAAATATTCCATAGTTGACTTTTTCAATGTCAATAAATCCTTTTTCTAAATAGCTTTAGCCTCAGATGTTGCAGACTTCTGAAAAAGGATACATAGGAGAGGTGCTGAGAAAAAATATACCAGCAAAAGTCAGAGTATAATATCGTATTTATTTAATATTAAATAAAGAACACATTCAAACTCCAAGATAGGGAAAAAAATCCTTAAGTGGAGCCAAAGTTTTTATCAAACAGGTAACAGAATGGTATGGTTAATTTTTTTCAAACTATTGCTTAAATGAAAACAAACAATTCACAAAGGTCAAAAAGTGAATCTAACACGGATGTATGTAGCTCCTTGGACTCAAGTTAATGATTTCATGCCATCAACCTTAGGTTAACAAAGTGAGTGAACTTACCTGAATAACTTCATTGAATATGCACAGAGCATCTCCAAATGATTAAAGAACATGGAGAGAATTTAGGTAAAGCTTTATGTAAACTCTCTACAGATAAATTGTTTGTACTACCAAAGAAAACCTTGTTAGTGCAGAAACAAAGATGTTCAAACTTGACTGTGCCAAATGTACTCACAGAGAGGAACAGGAAAAAGCAAATTACTGAACCATTCCTGGATGAGTGGGACTTAAATAGTTGTGGCATTAAAGGGACAGTTTTAGGAAAACAAACAAACAAACGGTCTGGCAGTCAGAAGAATTGCGCAGATTTCCAGAGACCAGGATCTTCTGAATTTGCAGACTTTAAAATTCAGACTATCCCAAACAATATTACCAGAGCTAGACTGCAGATCCTGTGAGATTTCACTTAAGCATTTATTTGAAGACCAAACAATAACTAGTTTTCAGACTTGAATCTACAGCCACAAAAATATAAATATATTGCTGTGTGGCACTTTCATTTTCAACACACTCTCCTGAGTCTTCCTGCTGAGAGGTCTTCCCCACCTCTGGAGGGAAAATAAGAGATTTCTGAAGCATCATCTAAAAAAAAAAAAAAAACAAAACCAAAAACAAAAGTAGCCTCCAGTTGCATTTAAATGAGCTCGCACTCCTTAAAAAAGCACGCAGGTAAAATGAAAATCCCCCAAACACGCTGAGTCAGATCTCAGTACGCACTTGCTCTACATTTCTCAGAAGAAAAAGCAGTGAAAGCTTAAAAAAAACCAAAAACATGACAAACTCCACACATACCTGCAGCACAGCAAGTGTGCGAGACAGTAGACGCAAGATGCCGGAGCTCAGCGTGGATGAATGGGATTCCAAAAGAAAGCTCTAAAGCACAAAATCAAAGGGTGAGTGCAAAGATCCTGTTTCTTTAAGTCAGAGTTACATAAGCCTTTCTCTTGGTGTCTCCGCGGTGACCAAGTCCACTCTTTTTAACGTCGTTTTCACCGCGGGTGTAGGCGGGGTGTGCTGCCGCGAGGAGCGCTGCTGAAGCTGCGTACCAAGCCTTCTTTTTCACTTACACAAAATGGTATTAAGCATGACTTAGCCGAGCAATCCATCTAGAAAAAACCGTGTTTACATTTTTTGGGGGTTGGTTTGATTTGGTTTTTTGTTTGTTTGTTTTTTAAGGGTGTTTCTTTGCTTTTAAAGGTTGGGGAATTATCACTTTTAAACATTACATTGGCATTATCTGTTCTTTAGACTATTCATACTTGGGCAAAAGACATATTTAAAGTCATCAGCAAGGTGAGTAAAGTAGAGACACCATTTCAAAGCTTATATAGCACAGGAAAAATAGTTACTATTTTCAGAGTGAATTAAGCAGCATGTAAGAAAGCTTTGTAGACTGCTGTACAATGTGTTTAAAATACTGATACACTCTTATCCTATCACAAGACATTTTATACATTTTTTTTTTAATTAAAGTCTCTGACTGTACCCCCCACATTCTTCTGATTTTCTTTTTATGGGTTTATTAGAATTATTCCTTAAAGAGTTTTAACTAAATATATTAGCAATCCAAAACTCACTGTTCCCTCAGAGACACATCTAAAAAGTAGACTAAATGCACATTAGTCCACTACACTTCTGTCTTACAATTTAGTCTTCATATGGAAGCTGTTTTCTCGTATTCTAAATAACTTTGCTAGTGCTCTTTGTTTGCAATCCCTAAAAAGAAGTCAAACAAATGAAAAAAAGCCTACCCAAGAATTACAGAGCAAAGTCATAAGGCTCAAAACCAAACGGTTTTGGTTTGGGTTTTTGGCTTTTCCCACTTGTGTACTACAGATTATAGGACACATGTTGCTTAGATACTCCATAGCAACTCTAAATAACAGTAGCCAAATAAATGAGACTAGGAATTTGCATCATTCCTAGAAAAGAAAAATTACAGCAGTACTTGCAGAACCTTCTCTCCGCTAGAGCTGTTTAAGCACATTTCCACTTTCTTAGTCATGTTGCTCTAGAAATAATTCTTTATACATACGACTATTACCCTTTACATAATATTAACATTAAACTTTAGAAATTAAACTTCTTTTAATTTGTTTTCCTGTTGTTTCATGTTCCTTTATAGGCAATCCATGCTGTTTTTTCACTTGAAAGTCAAATCTTAATTCAACACATCATGATCTCTGGACAAGCAGTTGGCTGCACTTCATACTGTAAACATATGTCTCTTTTGGATCTCATATGTCCAGCTTTTACTTAGTGACTTACGGTTTTATCAAGAAGATTTGGTTGTACTTGTAGTAGCTCACAGCTGCCCTTTCACTTCAAACAAATGCTGCATCTCAGTTTGGTTTGGTTTGGTTTTGGTTTTTTTTTTTGCTTAGTCACGGTGTTAGTGTTACAGCACACATGCTGTTCCAGCATTTATGAATGACTGCTCTTCTCTAAATAGACGTCCTGATTGTCCTCTAGCACATTAGCTTACCTTCTAATGCTCATGGAACATCAATAATGTGGAGTTATTAAGGTTAGACACTGGGATAATTAAGGTACCATAAACTTCTAGACCTCTACATTCTTCTCCTGGAAAAGATGTGTTATGACAGCTGTATCACCCAGATAACAGCTGTACTAATATATTACATTAGATGGTATCATATGAAAAACAACAGTTAATCAGCAGTTGCAGACCAGAATTCTCTGAAGACCTCCCCATGGGAAAGATGGCGAGGGGGGGAGAGGATATTAGCAGCATGTAAAGGAGGAAAACACATGTGGGGAAAAAGCAAAAAAATTAAAATCCAATGAAGAGAGATAAGGTTCATTAATACTGTTGACTATTTTTACATGAGACACACCACAATATATATTTCTCTGACAGTATATTTAATTTGAGAGACTGTCACTGGTAAAATTAAGACTTCCCTAAATTACATTTTCTCCCTATTAAATTCCATACAGTCTTCATCAGTAGCACTGATAAGGTGAAAAGAGACGTACAATCATTTTTGGTTTTCTTATAACTTTAGAGGTACCAGCACCTGGTGAAGACAGGAGGCACCTGGTTTCAAACTAACAATCAGAAGCCTTTCATCCCATGAGGCAAAATTAAGCAGTGTAAGTCACCATCACAAGATACACTAGAGAGCAGCGGATCAAGCAAGTTTAAAGAGGGATTGGCAAATCCTCAGAGGTTTGGTCCACCAGTGGCCATTGGACACAATGCTCCAGTGGGAATATCCAGCTCAGGAATCCCCTGAAGGGCAGGTTGCCAGGATGTTTCACAAGAGAGGATATTCCCTGCACAGTCACTGCTGGCCACAAGTGGAGGCTGGGTGCTGAGGTGGATACAATCTTGAGCTGATGCAACACAGAGGATTTTGTCTCATATCATTGCTGGGAAAAGTAGGTAACAAGATATAATTATGCAAAGCTATGCAACATTTCTCCTTTAGGTAGTAGCCATGGTTGGAAGCCCCACATTAAATGCCTTGTCTGCAGATTGCACTGTACATTTCAATTCCTAACCTGACCAGGAAAGTGTCTATAGAGTTTCACAGAGCCACAGGTAATCTGAGAAAGTAGTATACCATCTGAATAACCTTAGCTACAAATTTTGAAACAAGATATGACCCATTACATCACCTGTTAAATACACATCTGCCACCAGGGTACGAGTCAAAAAATACTCATTTCTCAAAATGAGCTTTGCCAAACAATGTATTTGTGTCCCTAAATTTTCAACTTATGATTTATGTGGAAGTTAGAAAAACAGTGGCCATAATACACAAACAGATTAATTTACCATTAGTTTAACTTATTTCAAACATTAACGTAAATCTCAAGGAACTGGAGGATATTTCAAAGCGTATTAAAACATGTCACCAACTTTTGCGGTAGTGTTCTAGACAATTTGTTACAATATAAGGACAGGTCTTACACTCTGCAAAGATATGGACAGAACAGCAGTATCTCCTATATGTGAAATCTATGACAATGCTAGATACACTATAACTGAAAAAAAAAGCCTCTTAAAAACACCTACGGATGCGGTTTGTTGTATCCTACATGGTTTATTTGTTCCTAGGACCAATAGAAAGCTGTCATACAACAAAACTCCCTGAGCAGATTACTGTAAAACAGCAGTGGGATTTTGATAAAACTTTTTAACTTGAGTTTAGTAGCCATACTTTTACAAAAGAAAGAGACTTAAGAAAAAAAATAATCTATATTTCATTCTTAGCCCTTCTATGTCTAGCTCTGTTTTCCTGCTTGTTTTTTTGATCTTCAAACATTATTGTGAGGCTGAATTTTTACTCCCAATCCAGAATGGAAATTTAAACATGCAGAAATCAAAAATTATGGTTATTAGCATACTCAGTGAAGGGGAATGAAGTCATATCTTTCAGCAAAAATGAAAAATGTAGGGTTCAGGAGACTGGATAGATCATCAGAATCTTTGATTACACTCTGTTCCTGGGTGAAGTTCTAGCTCTGCAGCACGCAGAGGAGTAGTAAACAGGAAAAAGGAAGCTAAATTGGGAAGGTGACCAAAGAACAACATGTATGTCTGTCCAGATCTAAAATAAAGACATGGCTGCTATGACCCATTCTGAAAATAGGAATGAATATCCTCACTGCTATTTTCTTTGCATAATATCCTTCCAGCTCTGATGAAAATATCTCTCTTCATCAGCTAACAACCTCATTTGAAGAAATAATGCTAGATCAAGTACTTAAGCTACACAACATGCATATGCACGTTTACCTTCTTGTATTTACCTACCACAGAGAGATACACCAGCCTTTAATTCCCAGTGTGGCATCATCAGGTGATGTACAGAAACACCACCCCAGCAAAAACCAATGATCCCTAATTTCTTTTGCACCACACTGTTCCTTTAGATATTTTAGGACAGCATCTGCTTCTCTAGAACATATAATTAAATGCAAATCAAGCAATTTCAAAACCAGTATTTGAAATATGAAAAGAAAATATAGAGATGCATATAAGTGTCCCCACATCATGCTGCAACTATATTTTCTTTGACATACTTCATATAAATTATTATTTCAGGTAAACCTTAGGGGTTACTAATCTGAAATCATCAGAGAGAGAGAAAAAAATAGAAGCCAATGGAATTCAATAAAAAAGCAATATAAATAATATATATCTAAGGAAACATAAAGGGATAGAAAGTAGATGATTGATTACACACCATATAAGAGTTAAAGCTTAACGTTCTCTGAGAGGCTGGATAAATTTTTGCTTAATAAATGTTGATTAAAAAGTAATAAAAACCTCTCTGGAGAATACTATTCATTAGCTAGTCAAAATGATGACAATAACTGAAGTTAGTATTTGTTGCAGGGAAGTCAATGTAAAAAACATGGTAGATGTTTTCAGATTTTACAATGTAGCCTGAAATACTTTTTGGCTAGATGCTGAGTTCTGAAAATACTCATTTACCCCTGAAGTATCTGTCACCATGCAGAGGCAGTAAAAAGAAAGTTTAGGTGGGAGAGAGGTAGCATTTAAGGCTTTTGTATCACCTCAAGGCTGTGTTTTCAGACCTGTTTCCTCCCCCCTTGGTCATGCAAGCTATATATGCCATCAATAAACCAGCTTCGCAAATAGCACAGTATCTGCCAGTGCACAAATGCATACAGAAGCAAATTAACTGCCAAAAAATTCTTTCCTCACTGCAGCTGACACTTGAAACGTGTGAATTGCCTGTAAGAAATGCTAGGCAGTGCGCAACCCTGCCTTCCCATTACAGCAGAGAGGGGACAGATTCCAAACTAGAAGGGTTTCTACAACAACTGAGCCCTCTGAGACAGGAACTCTCTGGAAATGATTCAGTTATGTCTCCCATAATCTTCTCACCGAATACCTAAGCCCAGCAACCTTTGACATAGCTAGTCCCAACAGCCCAAGACATTTGCTATCCCAGGAAGTTTAATTTTGTCTCTAATTAGTCTGACCCCTTCTCCATGTTTTCTTGCCAATAGCTTTCCTCTGTGTTATTAAGGCAGCAGAGCCTGCTAGTGACAGGTCTTTGCTGATAAATGCTTGGGCAGTGTTGCACATGGGAGGGGAAGATGTGGTACTCCTCTTGGCTCCTCTCATCTCATTCCCTAGGGAGCCACTGGCTCTCATTGCTCTGGGATGATGCAGCCATCAGCTGCCTGAGAGCAGTTACACCATGGTGGGCAACTACTCTGGCACAATCAAAAACTCTTTTCTTCTTTCCATACAACATCTTAAAGGATCAGTCTGTTACACTTGGCAAGACACCAGATGAGAATTGTGCTTTCTCATGGCTTGTGTTACCTGGCACTTTTAAACAAAGCTTTTTGAAGCAAAGGAAGCAACTTGCAGTCTATGTTTCCAACACTGGATGACAAAACTCATCACTAAGCCACTACCAAGAGAGTTGTCCTTGAAGGAGGGCAATGAAGATAGTGAAGGACTTTGACAGGAAGCCATATGAGGAGCGGCTGAGGTCACTTGGTCTGTTCAGTCTGGAGAAGAGGAGACTGAAGAGAGACATCATTGCAATCTATAACTTCCTTGTGAGGGAAAGAGGAGGGACAGGCACTGATCTCTCTGGTGACTAGTGACAGGACCTGAGGGAATGGCCTGAAGTTGTGTCAGGGGTAGTTTAAGCTGGATATTAGAAAAAGATTCTTCACACAGAGGGTGGTTGAGCACTGGAACAGGTTCCCCAGGGACATGGTCACAGCACCAAGCCGAGTTCAAGAAGCATTTGGACAATACTCTCAGGCACATGCTATGACTGGAGATGGTCCTGTGCAGAGATAGGGGTTGGACTCGATGATCCTTGTGGGTCCCTTCCAACTCAACATACTCTGTGAATCTGTGATTCTATTCAAAGCAAAATAAAAGGTCACTAATTCAATCCCACTTCTAAGGAGTCATTAAAAAAGGCCACCTTTGCAGGTAGATTAGCTGCATCCAACCTCAAAAAAACTAAAAACAAAAAATGACAAACCAACATAAAAAAGAATAAAAAAAAAAAATGGAAAAAAGCAGTCTGTAACAGCAGCAGGCAATGTGACATCCAGCTCCCTGACATTACTTTTTTTTCATGGCATCTCAAGCTTTCAGCCAGTCACCAAACATAGACCACTCATCAGAAGACTTCTAAACTTCTCTTCCTGAAAAAAGTCACACACACACAGACACACACATACACACAAAACATAACATTGAATGAATTAATCAAACACTGAGATTTTTTTTGGCCCTTCATGACATGGAAGGTTTCTATCCAGTCATAATTTTGATTTCTTTTTCCTAAGTCATGTTTTTAAATACCAT